ATTGAGTGAGCACCACGAATGAATTCAAAATGACACTGGGCACTGGAGAACCACAGAAGAACTACAGGATGTGTTCCCGCTCTTGGGGAGAACATTGACTTGAGAATTGGGGGACTGGCCCCAGGTTTGCTTCTAACTATCTCTGCACGTCTGTGTCATATCTTTAAAGCAAAGATGACATTACTGGGCAATACATCATTTCTAAGGCAGGAAAGGCTAAATTGTGGGGACAAGAGTAACACATGTGATTCAACAGAGAGAACATTCGAAATGGTATGGAATGTGATGCTGTACTGTTAATTGGTAAGAAAAAAGTCAGCCCAGCTGGCTTAGATCAATTGGTTCTCCTTGGGGATGGGAGAGGAGAGCAACTCTCCAGTTAGACAGAATTTGGATCAGAGGAACAGTATAGGGAGTCAGTCAGTCTCAAGCAAAGCATATACATTTGCACGGTTAGCAGGAAGTAAGAGTTCTGAAGCAGTTCATGGTCAATGCTGCATTTAGAAGAGGAATTTATTTTAGGGAACTTAATGTTTGGAAAACCCCAACAAACAGAGTGATTCAGTGAGAGCAGTGTTAAAGTTTTACGGTTTTTCTTCTTTGAGACAGAGTCTCACTATGTTGCCCTCAGTAGAGTGCTATGGCATCACAGCTCACAGCAACCTCAGACTCTTGGGCTTAAGTGATTCTCTTGTCTTAGTCTCCCAAGTAGCTGGGACGACAGGCGTCCACCACAACGCCCAGCTATTTTTTTGTAGTAGTTGTCATTGTTGTTTAGCAGGCCTGGGCCAGGTTTGAACCTGCCAGCCCTGGTGTATGTGACTGGTGCCCTAACTACTGTGCTCTAGGCACCGAGCCGTTTTACTGTTTTTCTGATAAGTACCTAGGAATAATATTACGTGCCTACTGTGTGCCAAATCCTCTTCTAAGTGCTGAGTGTTAATTTATTTTTAAATCTTCACAAGAACTCTTTAAGTCACCAAACTGAGTAAAGCATGGGAAAATCAAATCGTTTGTTTGAAGTCTCACAGTGAGTAAACGGCAGACCTAGGAGCTGGACTCTAATCATTCGGATACTTCTTTTCTGTTTCCTAGTGTTTATAGAAAACATGGCCTCCTGCCCCACTGAAGTCGAGGGTATTTCGGCAGGAGGTCTGTCCAGCACAACGATCTGGGAGATGGTAGATTTTTTCATATCTTGTAAATAAATTAAAGTTGACAAGGAGCCATTGCTAAAGCTAAGATCCCAATGGTCACCCAACCCTTAGTTCTGCTCATGGACTTCTGCTCACACAGTCAAGGATGGGCGGGTTTAGGAGCTGAATTCCAAGTGGAAGGTGGGATGGCCTTATTTACCATTTTTTTTTTTTTTTGTTGTTGTTGTTGTTTTTGAGACAGAGCCTCAAACTGGGTAGAGTGCTCTGGCATCACAGCTCACAGCAACCTCTAACTCCCGGGCTCAAGTGAGTCTCCTGCCTCCACCTCCCAAGTATCGGGGACCACAGGTGCCCGCCACAATGCCCGGCTATTTTTTGGTTGCAGCTGTCCTTGTTGTTTTGGCCGGTCCAGGCTAGATTTGAACCCCCCACCTTAGGTGTATGTGGCTGGTGCCTTAGCCATTTGAGCCACAGGCACCAAGCCCTTATTCCCATTCTTAAGCAAGGAGGCTCTGGGAATGCTAAGTCTCCTTCAGGGCTAAGCCAGTCTTCTGAGATTCTCTGAAATACCCTTGACCTCAGTGGGGTAGGAAAGGCCAGTGATAATATCCCTTAGGGACAGAGGCCATGTTTTCTATAAACACGAAAATAGAAAAGAAGTATCCGAATGATGAGAGTCTGGCTCTTGGGTCTGCCGTTTACTTGCTGTGAGACTTCAAACAAATGATTTGATTTTCTCATGCTTTATTTACTCCTGAGTCCTCCTCCTTATTTTTGACAACAACAAATAGTCACTGTGCACCTCTCCTGGGTCAGATGCCAGGTGCTATGTGGAATACAAAGATGGGTAAGATAAAGCCCCTTAGTAGTTCATGGTCTAGAAAATAATGACTGTAATTCAAGGCTGAATGTCACTAGTGTCATAAGGCATTATATCTCTCCTTCTGGATTTGGCCAGTCTGGTTCTTAACCGACTCCTGCATAGCCCCAAGGCAAGCACTAAATGGCAGGAGATGGAGGCCGTGCCTGGGCCATGTAGCTGTGGCTGCATTTCCCAAGCAGAGCAGCCTTGAGGCAAAGTAGGATGATAATCAGGGAAGGAGTCCAGGCTGCAAGACAATCGTTAGGGAGGATTTTTGAAATGGCATCCGTCAGGCTTGGTGGTTCACCCTGTAATCGTAGCATTTTGGGAGCCTGAGATGGAAAGATGGCTTAAGGCCAGGAGTTTGAGACCAGCCTGAGCAACAGAGTGAGACCCTGTCTCTACAAAAAAATACAAAAATTAGCCAAGTGGGGTGGCTTGTGCCTGTAGTCCTGGCAGGAGGATCACTTAAACCCAGGAGTTCAAGCTCACAGTGAGCTATGATGATGCCACTACCAAGGCAGATGGGGTGACAAGGTGAGACCCTGTCTCAAAAGAAAGGAAAGAAGAGAGGGAAGAAGGGAGGAAAAAAGAGAGGAAGCACAGGCATATGGTCATTCCTTAGTATCCCAGGGCGGTCGGTTACAGGACCTCCTGCAGAAACCAAAATCTACAAATGCTCTTTCAAATTTCTCATATTAAAAGGTATGGTATTTGCATATAACCTACAAACATCCTCTGATATGCTTTAAATTGTCTCTAATTACTTATAATAACTAATATAATGTAAATGCTATGTAAGTAATGTTATATTTTATAGGACTTTTATTTATATTATTTTTTATTGTTTTATTATTGTTTTTTATTGTTTCCCCCCCCCAAAAAATATTTTCTGTCCAAGGTTGATTGAATCCACAAATCGGGGAACCTGTGGAGACTGAGAAGTTGATGGTACTGAGAGGCGGGAAAAAACTAGAGAGAAGGGAGAGACTTCACCAGGGCAGGAGAGGTGAATGGAGGGTGAGAGCCAGGGGAAAGTTCAGCACAGGCAGGAACGTGGGCAGGACACTTAGGTCCTTACTGAAGAAACTAAGGTAACGGCTGAGGAGGCAGGTGAGAGGACAGAAGAGCCCCCCCAGGGGAAGTTCCAGCAGAGCACACTACTGTCAAGTTCTATGTTGTAGCAACACAGCTGAGGCTTCTAGTAAGTAACCTTGGCCAGAGGAAAGTGAGACTGAGTTTAAAGGGACCTGGGTCTAGAGATAAGGAGCTTGCTTCACAGAAGTAGATTTTTGTCTCTTCTTTGGCTTTAAGGCCTCCCCCACCAAGTCTGCTGTCTCCATAGATCAGAGTTATCTCTTCAAGAGACCTAGGGCTGACTGTTGGATTGGGGAGTGCTGAATTTCCCTTGCCCCAGTCTGCTTACCTATTGCTGAGTTTGCTGCACTAGCACCCTTCAGGGAGGTTCTGACTTGAAAGGCATCTTGTTCCCTGGGGGCTCAACCTCACCCTCCCGTGCTTCACAGGCCTCTGGGGACACACATTCACCCCCACCTCCAAGGTCCACAATGCCATGTAGATGGAGGTCATAAAGTAACACCCCCCCCCCACCCCTCCTGGGCCTTCTTTCCAGAAGCTTGTGACTTCTGAACCAAAGTCAGTCTCCAGTCTGAGGCAGGAATGATGATATCCCCTCAATATAAGAGGTCGGAAATGATGGTCAAATATTTGAACAGCAAGGGAAACAAGAAGCGATGGGACACAAAAGCATCCTCCAGATCTGAGTCACAGGACCACCCACTGTGGTCGGCCGTATTAGCCCCAGCTGGAGGTATGTGTAATTGGGTTCTATGTATTATTCAGCCTGGAGCACAAGCTGTCTGTCTGTGGAGGTTGGGTGCCAGCCACTTGAACTGCAAAGATGACACAACCTCTGTCAAAGAGCCTCTCTGGCTGCTCTGGCTGGAAATCACTAGTCATTAGCAAGGGCTCAGAGACCACTGGTACATCCATGTACAAACTGAGCTGTTACTTTTGACTTTTAAAACTTTTTTTTTTCAAAATTGTTTTGAGGGGTGGACTAGGTGCTGCATAGCTTCCAAGGGGTGTCCTTCAAAGGTGGCCGTAGTGACATTCGCCAATGAGATATGTAGTGCTTTCCCTAGGATGAGTTTGTGAACTTAATTGTCAGAACTCCTAAGAGCTAATACACTCTGCTGATACTTTTGTCTCCTCTCCTTGTCTCTCTCCCGGTTTCCATTTAAGGCTCTTTCCTTTTTTAGCCCTAAATCGAAGGTCTTGACATTAATTCATGCAATTAGGAGGGGCCTAATTGTCCCATAAATTGGAGACCTCTGCTGTTACTCTTGGTCATGAATTGTATTTGCTCTTTCATAAACTGTTTATGTTCTTTGAGCCACCAGTGACTCTTAATGTCAGGATAATATAGATCTATAGAACCTCTCAAGATCCTGCAATAAGCTCTGTTCTTTCCTATAGCCATCCACCCAGTTATTCATACAAGGAATTAAGAGTCTATGTGCCAGGCACCAAGCTAGTATCAGGATGCAAAGACAGTGCACAATTGGCCTTTATAGAGATCATAGATGTTGGATTTTTATAGCTTGAGAATGACATGCATAGATGACTCCCACCCCAGTTGTGGGTGTTTTAAGGTTTCTTTCCAGTAAGCAATTGGGGATACACATAGCCTCTTTAACTAAGCAGCAAGAGACAGAAACTGCCCTCTTATTCCGTCTTGTCTTCCAATTTGTGTTCAGACCCAGGCAAGAGTTAAAGAGTCTGATGACTGAGAAGCACAGATGAAAAACAGCCCAGCCCAGGGCCTGTTAGGATAATATCTCCCCTCTCTTTATCCTTGCCAGCCCTCCCTTCCTGCCTTTGATGCAGAGAGCTCAGGGTCTGAATGAAACCTGCTGGAGTTTCCAATTAAATCTCTGTGGACAAAGGGCACACACATGCACACGCGCACACACAGCATCCTCAGATAACAGGTTGCAATAAATTGTCAGCACGCCCACTTTGCAGGAGCAGTTCTCACTGCCTTCCTGCCAGCTGCCAGCACTTCATGAGTGCCTCACACCGAGATGGGCTCTAAGGTAAGATTTCCTTCTTTCTCTCTGAGCAAATTTAATCCTTTCTTATAAATTTTGTCTCTCATGAGAGGATTTCCACTCTAAAAGTAAAGTGTGCTATTGATTTGTTGGCAAATTTCTAATTTTGTTTGGATTCATTTTGAGATTTTGGTGTGTGATTGGCTTTGTGTGTGTGTGCGTGTGTGTGTCTGTGTTGGATTTATTTTATTAACTCCATCCTATTTTATATCCTATTTTTCATTTTCCAATGCTTTTCTCTTGGTCTCTTATTTGTAATCCTTATGTATTCTAAGTTAAGTTTGTGTTTGGAAGTATTTATACAGAGAAATAAAGGGTCTTAAATAATTGTTGGATTTTCTGGTTTAAACTTATCTGGGAATTGGGTCCACTTGCGACCTTGCTCCCTTGGATTTATATAAGGAACCAAGGGTCTGAATGAAACCCTTGCTGGAGGATCCAGTGAAATCTTCATTCTTCTTCCAGTTCTGGGCTTATAACAGAGAAGCTCAAAGCTCGGGATGCTTCGACAATTCCAGAGTGACGATTAAACCCCAGTGATATGCCTTAAAAATTATTTACTTCAATTATGAAAGTAGCTCATTATAAAACATTTGGAAATTATAAAAAAGGAAAAAGAAAATAATTTAAGTCATTAATTATAAATAGCTGGCATTTGGGTATCCTACTAGCCTCTAAAAAATGGGAACATATACGGTGTCCATAAAGTTCATGTACAAATTAAAATAGACAACTACTTCTTTTTATGTAATTGAGGCCAAACTATAGTTTAGTACATTTTTAAAATTAACATTATATTAATATTTTCTAAGTCCATGAAATTATTGGAAAACTTAGTTTTAAGAGCTGCTTAATATTCCAGTGCTAAATTAAATATTCCAGAAAATATTGCAATATTAAAACTTTTTAACTAACAAGAATCATTCAGCAATTAATTTTGAAGACAAACCTTTGGCTGGACCTCTGATCATTTTCTTAAGATGGATCCCTTGAAACAGAGTTACCAAATCAAAGGGTATATGACTTTTAGGGGCTGATACATTTCGTGACAGTAATCTATTTTAAAATTGAAATGATTGGTATCGCTGAAATGCAACAGAAGCCACATAAAAGAAAATGAAACCGTTTGACAAGGTACTGTGACTTAATGCTGACTGATAATATGAAATCCTGAATAGAAAACGAACCGGGAAAGTTAGCATTTTAACAGAGCAACACACTTTTCTGAACAGGGATTTAATAAGGCACTTCTAGCACCACAAAGCAAGAGAAAATGACAGAATAAGCCTGCAAGTTAAAAAGCTTGTGATTTCATCCCAGTTTGGCACTAATCATGCAACCCTGACCTAACCTTCTATCATCCTAAGCCTCAGATTTCTCATGTGCGAGATGAAAGTGTCAGTCTAGGGCTAGCCAGTGTTTCTCAGAAGGCAGTGCAAGACATGCTTGTGCCACAGGAAATATTTCAGGTGGCACATAGAACATAGACTATAATTTTGGGGTGGTATGTAGAAATAAACCACAATTTTTTTTTTTTTTTTGCATGATACATAAAGTTACTTTAGAGGAAAAGATGAAGGGAACAATAAGTACAAATAGTCCTTAGATACAATGTAAACCATGAAGGTGATAGGCAAATGTTTGAGAAACACAGGCACGGGTGATCTGTGGTCTGTTTATTGTACCATGTATAATTCCAGCTACAAATAGCCAGTGAGCAACCCTTACTGGGAAAGGCATTCTAGGAACCAGGCAGGGTCATAGAGATATACAGGAAGTGAACAGCAATACAGATATGGAGCTATTTCCAAATACTATCCTGCTACCATGTTTCCCCCCAAATAAGACCTACCCCCAAAATAAGCCCTAGCAGGATTTCTATGCATTTGTTAAATATAAGCCCTACCCCAATAATAAGACATAATGATGGGCGTGGCTATGCAGACACGGCTGGGAGAGGAAGACATCCCCTGAAAATAAGCCAAAAAAAAGACAGTGTCCTATTTTGGGGGAAATACGGTACTTGCAACCCTTTGCACTTTTCATTTTAATAGTGAGTTTTGCTCATCTGGGCAGACTTCCTCCCTTCTTCCATAAAGGCTGCAGAAGACATATAGCTGTAACAGGACCCGCCTCAAGAACTTGAAGAAGAGCCCCCCAGACCAGCCCTCGCCATGCTCCGGACTGTTCTGGACGCTCCTCAGAGATGGCTGAAGGAGGGGAGAGCGTCCCGGCAGCTGGTGCTGGTGGTGGTATTTGTTGCTCTGCTCCTTGACAACATGCTGCTCACTGTGGTGGGTACGTTCAGGGGTTTTTGTGCTGAGGGTTCATTTGAACTTGGGCCCCAGCAGGCAGCACACCCTAAGGTCAATTTCAGCAGTGAATGGACTTGAGAATAGTTTCTTTCTATGCTCAAACACACAGAGGTTGCTGGGGGCTGGAGGAAGCTGCAGGAAATGGAGTCTGAAGCTTGCAAACATTGTTGAAAGACTCCAGAGGTTCAAAGATTAGGAGGTTCAAAGATGGCCAGACCAGAAGAGAGGATGGCCTGGAGCCAGTACCGGCTGTACTCTCTCCTTCCTGCCCAAACTGTCTTCTCAAGGCCTGATGACTCCACGTGCCTCTGGGCAGGGAGCGTCTTCTGACCGTGTTGCCTTTCCAGCGTCTGCCCTATAAAAATAGCACACTGTATTTGGATACTCAAGGCCTCATCAAGACCTACCTTTCTTGCAGTTCATTTCCTCAGAGTCCTGCCTTTTTCTACTTGACACTCTTGTACTCATTACATTAAGTTGGACCAGTGTATCAATGGGTACGAACAGTTGCCCCTCCTGGGTAAAACACACGCTTTTAAACAAGAATGTGCCTGAGACAACTTGTTAATCCAATACAATCAATTCTCATTATTCGCATTTCTATAGTTGGAACCACGTTCTTTAAGGTTACTGCAAACATTCCATTAGTAAGTCCTGAATCATTGCTCCTGGGGGAAATTCGTGTGCGTGTGTACGCATGCACGCACGCGCCACGCATGCACGTATCACGCACGCATGATGCGTGCATGCATGCGTGCGCACATATTTTGTTTTCAGACGACAAAAAGACCTTCAGAAGTGTTGACTGACTTGCCCAGGGCCACCTGTCAGCACCACTAACAGGTGTTTTATAGTATTCAAGCCCATCTAATAGTAACAGGCCCCAGAGGGAGGCTGCCTGCGCTCCCCTGCCCTGACTCCTGCTGCCCCCAACCCCCAGCCTCTGGTCTTGTCTATGTGACAGCTGAAACAAGAAGGCAGAGCCCACCTTGTTGCACATGCGCATATCTGCAAAAAGATTGTGATAGCTCAGCTTTCAATCATGTCACATAGATACCCTCCTGGAGCGTAAAAGCAAACCTTACTCTAATACTCCAGAACCTAGAAGTGGTCAAAGGGCAACCCATCCTTAGCCCCCACCATGTGTCCTTCTTGGCTTTCAGTGCCCATTGTGCCCACGTTCCTGTATGCCACGGAGTTCAAAGAAGTCAACTCCTCTCTGCACCTCGGCAGTGCTGTCACCTCTCCCGTGTTTACCACCGTCTTCTCCTTCTTTGACAACACCACCGTGACTGTCGAAGAAAGTGCACTCAGTAGCACAGCACCGACAAACGGCACTCCTGGCACCATCCCCCCTCCAGTTACCGAAGCCATCTCAGCACATAGAAACAGCTGCTTGCAAGGCACAGACTTCTTGGAGGAAGAGAACACCCGTGTGGGGGTTCTGTTTGCTTCAAAGGCTATAATGCAACTTCTGGTCAACCCATGTGTGGGCCCTCTCACCAACAGGTATCTCAGAGGAGGCAGAGCCTCACGGGGCGCTCGGGAATAGGAGGATGAGCTGAGGTATATCAAGGTGGTTAGAAGGGGAAAAGGAGAAATACTTGCTTGTCTGGTGTCCAGGGCAGTCAGCCATTTGGAAGGCTGGTTACCCCCAAAGAATAACACATTATTGATGAAATGTCATGGGCTTTCAATTTTCTTAGTGATACACATATTGAATACTGAGTACCAAGAAGAGAACCAGTTAACAGCAGTGCGCTGCTGCTGTTCTGTAGTCTGTGTTCCTGAACACGGCTTGGACAGGGTGAGGGTGGGAAGGGGACAGTCCTATTGTAATCTAGAGCGCCAGCTTCCCAGTCAATGTGTTCAGGGGTACCCCAGTGTTTTAAAGGGATAAACACTCGACCTAGGCTATCCTTTCTGCAAATGAGCATCTTGGCTGTGGTCTACAGGTAAACTTGCATGTCTGTGTATTTGCTTGTGCTCATTCCCACGTCACGTTCCGTTATCACACCTGGATTCAGAGGCGTGTTTTAACCGTGTGCTCAGATAACCGAGTTTCTGCTCCTGCTCAATGCCCATTGGAATTGTGTCTTGTCTTTTCTCGCTTCCTTTCTAGGATCGGATATCATATTCCCATGTTTGCTGGCTTTGTTATCATGTTTCTCTCCACCGTTAGTAAGTCATTTTTGCCTCCCCTTTTCTTCCCTTCCCTGATTGTCTTTGACTGTATCATGCAAATTTAGTGTAGAGTGCAGGGTGACGGGAGAGTAATCAGGCACCTGACTTAGCTGACTGGGAAATTGATTCAAATGCTTCCTAGTTTTTGGTATGGGAACTAGAACAGTAGTGGTAGCTTAGTCTTTCGGAATTTGTCTCTTCTGCTACAGAAGAACAGATACTTTATTTCCTTGATCTAGGAAATTAGAAAGGCTGTTTGAATGTGTATGCTCTGGTGTCTGTGTGTGTGTGTGTGTGTGTGTGTGTGAGTAATCCCTTGAGCAAGTTTAATACAAACTTCCCGTCTTCAGGAAAAGATCATATAATTTTGATATGCCATGGTAAAGGGCAGGTAACAAAAAAAAAAAAAAAAAGAAAGAAAAAAGGAAATTGGACAACAGCATCTGGAAAATTCCGAAAGGTCTTTTTTTTTAAGAGACATTAAAGGTTAGAGCTTAGGAAAGTAAATTTGCAAAAGCAGCAAGAAGGAGAAAGGCAAATAGTCTATATTCAGGATTCACTAAATGTTCCTAATAAAATGGAGATGGAATAAAAATAGTAAGCAAGAAAAATAAGTCTGGAAATTGACCCTGAGAGGTAAACTAAGACGGAATGGATGGGGGTTGTGTTTGGGGATTCACTTTGCCTCTGATGGCTCTGCTGATTCTCTGTCTCTGAGGACACACCTCTTTCTCTCCTTGTGTTTTTATTACCTTTCTGTTGTTTATCTGCTTTCCCTATTCCTCTTCCTCAACTTTTCTTCCTTTCCAGAATAGGACTTAACTCAGGCCAGTGCAGTGTGTAACCAGAATGTGCTGCAGTCAGGGCCCGAAGGTTGTCTTAGAACTGCATCTTCCTAGTGAAATTCTAGCTGAATGAAATAAAATTAAGAAATTCAAGTTGGGGATGTTTGCTGCAATTCTAGAAGCTCAGCCTATGCTAGATAGCAAATTAAAAAATAATAAGGTGCCTGATTTCATCAAATGCATGGGGCTTAAAATGTATTCCATAAAACTTTATGGAGCGAATGTATTATGCCTCAAGGCTGCAATCATGTAAAGAATGAAAAGACATGTTTCCAGGGGCCCAGAAGTGTATAATGGTTGCCTAGGAGACAAACACCTTGCACAATAAGGTCATGCAGTGTGCTAGGGATCCTGAACTCTTCAGCATAAGGTCTGTGCTGATTTTCTGCCAAGAACTCATGTTTTAAAAGCTTTTCTTCTCTGTTTTTTCCATTTTTTGTTTTGTTTTTGAGACAGGATCTCACTCCATTGCCTGGGCTAGAGTGTAGTGGCATCTTCACAGCTCACTGTAACCCCAACCTCCTGGGCTCATGTGATCCTCCTGCTGCAGTCTCCCCAGAGACTACAGACACCGGCCACCATACCTGGCTAATTTTTCTATTTTTTGTAGAGATGAGGTCTTGCTGGGTTTCTTAGGCTGGTCTCAAACTCCTAGCCTCAAGTAGTTCTCCCACTTTGGCCTCTTAAAGGGCTAGGGTTACAAGCATGAGTCACTTGCTCGGCCTAAAAACTTTTCTTATCTACCTAATTTTATGTGTTAAATAATTATTGTTTCCCTGATATAACCACTGTTCCTCTACTGAGTTGACCTAATTGTAGACAAAAGAAAATGAACTTGATGTTTAGGGTATCCTTTTATTATCATTCAGTGTTTTAAAAAACTTAAAAGAGGTTGCTGACACTCATGACTACCCTCAACTTCCCAACTAAAAAACACGCTTAATGCAGTTAGGATTGAAATGGTGGCCTATGTAAAGGGTGCAAAGTGGGGGAAAAAAACTATCTTGGTCTTCCTAAATGGGATGATGGGCTATTCTGGTTGAGGGGTTAATCAGTTTAATGTTGCCATCAAGGAATCCCTGAGTCTGGGTGAGAAAAGAAGTTTATTAGGCTCATGGCTCTCCAGGCTGTATGAGAAGCATGGTACTGGCCTCTGTTCCGCATCTGCTGAGGGCTTAGGGAGCTTCCAATCATGGTAGAAGGCAGAGGGGAGCCAAAAATCACCTGGGGAGAAAGAAACTGAGAGAGGTGGAGCTGGGAGGTGCCAAGTTCTTTTTTTTCTTTTTTTTTTCTGAGACAGGGTGTTTCTTTGTTGCCCAGGCTAGAGTGCCATGGCCTCAGCCTAGCTCAAAGCAACCTTTTGGGCTCACGCAATCCTATCTCACCCTTCCCAGTAGCTAGGACTATGGGGCAGGTACGACCTTGCCCAGCTAGTTTTTCTATTTTTAGTAGAGATGGGATCTTGCTCTTGCTCAGGCTGGTCTCAAACTCCTGACCTCAAGCAATTCTTCTGCCTAAACCTCTGAGAGTGCTAGGATTAGAGGCCCGAGGCACTATGGGGACACAGGCTCTTTTTAACAACCACCTCTTGAAGGAACTGTAGAGTGAGAACTCACTTATTACCCCTCATCATCACACCCCCCCCCAACAATAATCTTTACATGAAGGATCCACCCACATGACCTAGACACCTCTGTTAGGCCTCACATCCACCAATGGGAATCAAAGTTCAACCTGAAGACAATCAACCCATATCCAAATTGCAGCATGGGGCTTCCCAGGATAGAAGACTTTCAGTTTCTGTGGAGTTTTTTGACTTTCAGTTTTAAAACCAAGAAAGTTCTGGTCAAACCAAGACAAGTTGGTCAAAGGACTTAGAAATAGTAGACTGAACAGACTGGAAGTCAGAAAGTCAGGGAAGGGGAGATTAAGAGGGTGCGTGTTAGGGAGAAACGAGGTAGATAGTTCAGTGGGATCATGTCGGGAAGTCATGGGAGAGGATTGTAAAGGCAACCAAAAGACTTGTGATGAATGGACAAAGGGATTAACATTCTTTTGATTCAGACACCTTGGGAAGAGTCTTCTCACTTTAGGAGATGCTGTTCTGGAATTGGAGGTGAGACATGTCTGGGCTTACTGCCCCTATGATCCAGTTTCTGACAATCTAGATTCCTAGATTATTCAGATAATGTATTCCTATTTGGTTCTCAGCAGCTGTGGTATGTTGGTTTTCTTTTATCTTTTCTTTCTTTCTTTCTTTCTTTTTTTTTTTTTTGAGACAGAGCCTCAAGCTGTCCCCCTGAGTAGAGTGCTGTGGCATCACAGCTCACAGCAACCTCTAACTCCTGGACTCAAGTGAGTCTCCTGCCTCTGCCTCCCAAGTAGCTGGGACCACAGGTGCCCACCACAACACCTAGTTATTTTTTGGTTGCAGCCATCATTGTTGTTTGGAGGGCCCAGGCTGGATTCGAACCTGCCACCTTAGGTGTATGTGGCTGGTGCCTTAGCCACTTGAGCCACAGGTGCGGAGCCAGTATGTTGATTTCAATAGACTGTACCTCTTCCAGGGCATGAGCTAAATATTCTCTGGATTTCACATCTGCTATAGACTCCAGCAAAACTGTACGTTTGGGATTATTTTAATAAATATTGATTTGATTTGGTTAAAAGATTTTCCAGTATCAGGTAAGGGGTGGGATCTGGCTGAATCACAAGATATTATTTTCTATTCAATGCCAGTAGTCCTACTGTACCCCAGAAGACCCAGCGGTGCCCAGGAATAGCAAAGACCACATCTTGGTGTTGCACTTAGAGGACCTAGGAGTGGGGTCTGAGAACTAGTGCTGAGGCATTGTGCTTCACAGACATTCCTGATTCCAGTGGATGGGATGTTGGGTTCTTAGCAAGATGTGTAGAGACCCAGCCTGGTTTCTCAGTCTTTTTGCCCATTAAAAAGCAGTTCTGAAGGATGGAAGATTAGAAAGACAACTCCCCAAACAGGGAGCAGTCATCATGCCTTATTAAAACATAAGCGTGGCTGGGCATGGCGGCTCACACCTGTAATCTCAGCACTCCGGGAGGCCTAGGCAGGAGGATTGCTTGAGGTCAGGAGTTTGAGACTAGCCTGAGCTAGAGCTAGATCCCATCTCTACTACAAATAAAAAACCAGTGGAGCATGGCAGGGGCACCTGCAGTCCCAGCTATTCAGGAGGCTTAGGCAGGAGGATTGCTTGAGCCCAGGAGTTTGAGGTTGCTGTGAGCTGTGACTCCACAGAGCTTGGGGCAACAGAGCAGACTCTGTCTCAAAAACAAACAAACCTATGTATAATGCCTCACATTTGCAATGTCATGGGTGTATCTTCTGGCAGCTGGGGAAGCCAAGGCCGTGTGCTAACCGCAGCATTCTTGCTCTTCTCCTTGCCCAGTGTTTGCTTTTTCTGGCACCTATGCCCTGCTGTTTGTGGCCCGGACCCTTCAAGGCATTGGGTCTTCATTTTCATCGGTTGCAGGTAAAACTGACATCTTCATATCTCCTCTCTCTCTCTCTCTCTCTCTCTCTCTCACACACACACACACACACACACACACATGCAAATCTCTTGCTAGCTCAAACCCTGTACGATTTATATGAAGATATTAAGGAAAGTATCATCCTGCTAGGTAGAAATTGTGAGTCAGAAACAAGGTAATTGTCGAATTGCAGGCACAGCCCACAATTCCCTAAGCCCGTCATAACTTCCTCTGACAATGTGAAGACGTGGCTCGCATAGGTCAGAACAGGCCCGCAGTAAAACTGTGAAGTAGACCAGGCTTTTATTTTATTTTATTTTGCAGTTTTTGGCTGGGGCTGGGTTTGAACCCACCACTTCCAGCGTATGGAGCTGGCGCCCTACTCCTTTGAGCCAGAGGCACCGCCCTAGACCAGGCTTTTATTTAGTGCCGCCTGATGGTCCTCTCTCTGTCCTCTCCTAACATTTGGTGGGAACAGTAATGTAAATACTAATGCTGTTAATACCCCAACAGTGTTCAAAGCATTGGCTAATGCAATAGCGTAATCCCGTGAAGCTGATGTTTTATGCCCATTTACCCCAGACCAGTGGAGCTGAGAGGCATACAGCAGCAGGCTGCAGTCTCTTCCGGGTCCTCTGTGTTCTCAGCTTCTTCCTTGGGCCCCACTGTTCAATAGAACAGTCTCTCCTATGTTTTCCCTTTCCTGATCTGCTCCATAATCCTTTCATTCAGGGAAATGTGCTAGGAAATGATAAAAGATATGAAATGCAGCCTAAGGGGGCAGTGTGTCCTGTTACCCTTTCTAGAGGCCTTTCACTCCCAACAATATTCTGAACAGAAGGGGTAAGCAATCTAGGAGGGTTGGAAGGCAGTGGGGTATTTGCAGAATACCGTGGATTATTATTATATTTTTGAGACAGAGTCTCAAGCTGTTGTCCTGGGTAGAGTGCTGTGGCGTCATAGCTCATAGCAACTTCCAACTCTTGGCTGAAGTGATCCTCTTGCCTTAGTTTTTTCTATTTTTAGTAGAGAGAGGAGGTATCACTTTTACTCAGACTGGTCTCGAACTCCTGAGCTCAAGCAATCCACACACCTCGGCCTCCCAGAGTGCTAGGATTATAGGCATGAGCCACTGTGCCTGGCCTATGGATTATGTTTTAAAACTCTCCTCAGACTGAAACTCTAGCTAGAATTATCTCTGAAGATATATAGGGCAGGAGACAAGGACTCCATGTGAGTCAGACAAAGTCCCCAGGGTCTGGCTCTGTCTGTCTCTCCCTGGGCAGGTCTTGGGATGCTGGCCAGTGTCTACACTGATGACTGTGAAAGGGGACAAGCCATGGGAACTGCCTTGGGGGGAGTTGCCTTGGGAGTGTTGGGTAAGTGGCACCCAGCTGCAGCTCTGGGTTCAGGGGGGAGAGTTGCTGGTGAGGCTGTCACAGACCCACCAAAGATGGCTCCAGGAAACTGGTACTTCCTAGGTCTTGGAAGACAAATGTTATTCTTCTCTCCCTGGTCCAATCATATTTTGATTCCTTCAGAAATATTACTGAGGAAAAGTGAAATTTCTTTCTCCCTAAAAAGCTGAACTGCTTATAAAGGCTTAGGAAAGATCCAGAAACCCAGCCTGGTAGAGGAAGTGAAGCTTCTCAGGTTAGCAGCCCCTGCCTACCTCACCTCTGCTTCCAAGTTTGGACAGAACCTGTCCTTTGCCAGATGCTCTGCTAAACTAATTACAGACATAATCTTTATTCCTCACTATCACCTTGTGAAGGAGGAATAATGGCCCCCATTATAGAGATGCAGATAAGAAAAGTTAAATAGCCATCCACGGTCACGCAGCTGGGAAATGCAGAGCCAGGGTACAGGTGGACTTGCTTGGCTCTGAGTCCTAAGCACCAAACTGTAAGGTTATACTTTCCTTTGGGGCTCATCCCTCATACGACTTAATTGACAAGCCACATTCTTTACTGAGCACTTACTATGTGCCAAGCACAGAAGGGATGTAGGTAAGATGTCTTCCCTGCCCTCTAGGAGTTTACAAGGTCACTGGAAAGAAAAGACCCAACTCTCTCCCCCTGGCCCATGCCCCACCCTCACCACTATGGAAAGGAGATGAAACAAAAACTGTTACTTGTTAGTATCTATCAACCTAAACACCCAGCCTAAACCTCATGTGCGTCCTGGACGCCTTCATCTTCAACCACCCCCAAATGAATGAGCCCGTCTTACTCACTTCTGCCTTCTCCTTGCCTCGTGGTTGGAACATGGCACTGGCTTCCTGCCTGAGCTGTCTCACATTGCCTCCTTCCTCCATGGTGCCACCAGAAAAATCCTCCTGAACACAGAGCTGATGGTGTTTGTCCTCATGATGTTTCTTCCTAGGATACAGGGCTAAGCAGACACCTCATCTGGATACATGGGGCCCTGGTCTCCGGCTCTGCGGCCTCAGCCTTCCCCCTCTGCCTTCATCTCCTCCCAAATACTCATGCTTAGGAACACCCACTTCCTTTTCCTTCTTTTCCGACTGCTCCCTCTCTTCTGACACCTTGTGTTCATTTAATACAAGCTTCTTCCCCACCGGGTGTTGGCAAAGCTCTCACGGTTACCGGGACTTTCTGGCACAGGCCTCTGTGCTTACACCACCCTCTTTGCATGCAACCCTTGGCTGCTAAAATTTTCACCCTGTTTTAATTATTCAGTGCCCCCCCCAACATGCTTCTTTCCCCCATTAGATAGTGAGCTCTTTGGGGTGCAGTGACCAGGTCTTCCCCATTACCAAATCTCCAGAATCTCAAAGGAGCTCAGCCCCAGTGGACCTTTGTAAATGCTCACCTGGCCAATGTGCACAAGTTTCACGGCCTGGGATGCACCCTCATCCCTAGAATCTGTGGCTGCTTTGCCTTTGCAGTGGGAGCGCCCTTTGGAAGTGTGATGTACGAGTTTGTTGGGAAGTCTGCTCCCTTCCTTATCCTGGCCTTCCTGGCACTACTGGATGGTGGTAAGTCACTCTTGAGACTCCCAGGCAGGTGGCAGTTCAGGCAAGGCTGGGAACACATCATGCTCTGGTGTCTATCTTGACTATTAAAGGTGGGGTGGGCATATTTGGAGGACTAAGCCAACCTGGGAAAGAAGGATGTTAGATTTGCCCAGGATAGGCTGGCAGAAATAGTACTGGCATTAGAGCCCCCAGCTAATCACTGGGCAGACTGAACCTTCTCTCCCTCTTTCTTTCCTAGCTCTCCAGCTTTGCATTCTACAGCCTTCCAGAGTCTCTCCTGAGGTAAGTAGACACCAAGCTCCATTACTAAGAGCTACATAGAATGGCTAAGCACAGGGGACCAGGTATGCCTGTCACACCATCAGAGAAAGGTGGAGGGAAACAGAGTCAGGAAAAGTAGGACTCTACTTGGACTTCCAGGTAGGGTCACATTTACTATTGTGGGTGATACAGGGAGGATATTTGGCTTGATGTTGGACAAAGATGGCAGAAAGACCTTATGGAGAATCCAAAAAGCCTTATGGATTATACATAGATGTGTATATGTGCACACACATGCGTCTTTAGAACCAGGAGAAAATAAAACCGACACCCGAGGACTCAGAGTTATAACATCATCTCAAAGATAGAAAAAGCCATGGAGACTACCCAGACAACCTCTTCTCCCCCAAAGGACACCCTCCAAGAGTATCCCTAACAGACCATCAATTTGTCGCAGTTAATAAATATCAGAGTTAGTATTTGTCTGACTCAAAGCCAGAAGTGGCTCTGGACAATCCATCCCTAAGTAAGAAAGATAACAAAGTACATAAAATATGGGAAAGTTTGGTCTAAAGACCTTGACTTTGCATTCCACAGTCCATCAATAGAATAATACATTTTATTCTATTTACATGCAATTTACATGCCAGGGACTCTGCTTAGCATGCTGTATGCCCTGTGTCTTGTAAATTCCATGAAATAAGTGTTATTTTTAGCCTCCTCTACAGCTGACAAAATTGAGGGAAAGCCGATGCATCTGAAAGAATGTGACACTATGACATAATCAACACTTTTAATTCCCCATGGCAACTGGGAGCCTTGTCTGCTGAGGTGATGCTGCTGTCTGGGAACTTGCTTCAGGACTAGGATGTCCGGGCACCACCAGGAGTAACCACCACCCGTCCAGCGCTAAATGCCTCTGTGCGGGTTTCCAGGCCTAGAACATGCCTGGTCCTAGCAACCCTGCACCACCTGCCCAGGCCTATGAACATTCATCCAGATGGGTCTGTTGCTGTTTATTGAGCGTCCATTGTGCCAGCTCAACAAGCAAATCCAGCTTGAGATTCAAGGAAAGGGGGGCACCGCCAAATATATATTTTTTAAATAATTTGATCATGGTACCAAAAAAAAAAAATTAGAGCCTCATTGGGTTTTAAAAACTTTTTGTATTGAAGTAATTTTAAATTTACAGAAAAGTTGTAGCATAATAGAACTTCTATATATATCCAGATTCTTCCTCAGTTTTTAATGTTTTTCTGTATTTGTTTAACCATTCTCCCTCTCTCACTCACTTTCTCACACACACATTACTACTACTTTTTTTTTGAGCCAATGTTGAGTAGTTTGACTATATCATGCCATTATCCCTTGATAACTCAGAGAGTTTTCCCTAAGAGCAGGAGTATTTCCTCATGTGATGACAATCCAGTTGTGAAATTTAGGAAATTTAGTCTAGGATTATCTAATGCCTTTATGCTTCACATCTCTTTAGGCTCTTGTATTCTGAAAAGGTTGCTCAGCCTTTCTTTATTTTTCAAGACTGAATTTTTCGTTCTTTGACATTATTGAAGAATACGGCAATTGTATAGAATATTCCTAAGTTTGGTTTGTCTGATGTTTCCTCCTGGTCAGATTCAGGCTGTGCACCCCCATTGTAATATCATTTCAATGATACCACATCCTCAGAGTGTTACATCTAGTGCCCACCTGCCCTTCAGCAGAGACGTTAATTTTTATCACTAGGTCAAGGTGATGCCTGTTTCTCCATTGTGTAGTTGTTATTTTTATTTTTCACCTTGTAACTAATCAACAATCTGTTGGAGACATTATAAGATCATATAAATCTGTTCTTCCTCAAACTTCCTCTTTATCTAGATTCATTGTCCATTAATGACTATTGACTGAACTAATCTTTCTGATACAAAAATATGTCCCATGCTCATTTGTACCTTCTCTGCCTCAGCCTGGAATCAACCATTTCCTCAAGGAAGCTAGGTTCTTTCTGATGGGGAATGGTGTTTAGAAACCAAAATATGGGTCCTCAGTGTGCTCCTTGCTGTTGAGGTCTCCCTGTTTCTAGGCTGTCTCAGGGTCTCAGGGCAGGGTTAGCACATGTTCAAACTGAGACCTCCACTGACAGCCCAGCTCCATAGGATTTTTTTCTTGCTTTTCCCATTCTATATTTTTATCATCCTTTCTTTATAGTAAGATTCCTAGCTCTTCCCCCAAATCAAAACATTTACCTATTGGCCAAGTGTGGTGGTGGCTCACACCTGTAATCCTAGCACTCTGGGAGGCCAAGGTGGGTGGATTATTTGAGCTCAGGAGTTCAAGACCAGCCTGAACAAGAGCAAGCCCCCATCTCTACTGAAAGTAGAAAAATTAACCAGTGCTATGGCAGACACCTATAGTCCCAGCTACTTGGAAGGCTGAGCCAAACTCTTTGAGTCTGAGAGTTTGAGGTTGAGCTATGATGATACCATGGCACTCTACCCAAAGTGATAGAATGAGACTCTGTCTCAAAAAAAACAAACCAAACAAAAACCATTTACCTATTTGTGCAATTCTATAATGTCTGTGATTTATATTGCATTTGTTATCCAAGATAAATAGTTTATGTGGTTTTTATTTTCTCCTCTTTTCTTACATAAAGGTAGCACCCTATGTATATGTATATTCTGTGTCTTCTTCTTTTTCCCCACTTAGTAATATATTCTGAAAATCACTCTGTGTTAGATCATAAGATATCATAAGATAATATTTTCCAGCTGTGTGGTCCATACACATCATGTGTGTTTACACCATATCTTATTCAATCTCTTATGTTTGGTCACTTAGGTAGTTTTCAGTATTTTGTGGTTGGAAACAGTGCAGCAATTGATAAACATATACAGTAGGACTGAATCTCCATAGTCAACCACCTCCCTATAGGGACCATTGTCTTAAGTTGACCTAATTTTCATAGACTGGACATGCACCACATGTATGTATAAGTATAGCAGGTCTAGTTCTTCATGTTGACCATTTTGTTATAGTCCCTTGGGTGGTCAACTTACAGAAGTCCTACTATTTATGAATTTTAGTATTCTTGGCAGTAATCTGTAGAATAAATTCCCAGAAGTGGGATTGTTGGGGCAAAGGGTTTATCAGACTTCTTTATAAACATAAAGAAGTTTCTTTACATTGAACTATATGTGAGGTGAGCACATTATTGTTTTAGTTTTAGGGTCTCTAAGTATCTTAATCCACCTTTGTGGATATGCAAAGAGGGTTATCGAAAAACTATTAAATCTATTAAAAGGCAGAATATGGTAAACACCTCAGACGATTAGGACAGTGCTCAGGAAATTTGAAAGTAGACTTTTCAGTCAAAGAACATTCTAGAAAAGAAGGAACCATTTGAGCTTAACTGTGAAGATTGGAGTTTATGGAACTGTGGAAAAGAGAAGGCAGGTGGTTTAGGCAAAGGCAACAATAATGGCTGAGGGACTGCTGGGGGGCAGTGAAGGAGGGTGGGGTAACCAAGTTTAGCTGGGATGAGAACATGCCCCAGAGGAGGGGACATTGGAACTGGGCATTTAGGCTGGTGTTTTTACCCAGGTGTTCAAGCTGCTTCTGCTGTCCTAGTGTAGCATAGCTCAAAATGGTTAGAACAAAGACTCGAGAAAGGTTGAGAGGCTTTTTGAGTTATGGCCTCTCTACTCAGTTTTGGAATTCACTGGGATTCTTCCAGGACAGGTGCCAGGGAGTCTAGTAGAAAGACTCAAGTCCAGGAGTCCAGACACTTGTAGTCCAATCCTGACCTTGCCCCCAGTCCACTCTGACCTGGTTGATTGTCATATGAAGGTAGGAATCACTCTCCCTCTGAGACCACAACAATGCCTGCCTTGTGTACAGGAGGGGTTCTGCCTCCACTCACTCTGTGACATCAGTCAAGTCATTTTCTCTCCCTGAACTGGGTTTCCTGGTCTGTCAGATGATATAGAAAGTCTTTAAGCCCCTGTATGTGCATTCTTAGATTCTGTAAAAATAAGAGAGATGTATGCACTGTATGAATGGGAGCTTTTTATCATTCATGTTCTCAGAGTATCAAGGGGACTCCACTCCTTACGCTTCTCAAAGACCCTTACATCCTGGTGGCTGCAGGTAAGCTGGCAATGGCTTCCCATTGGGCCACTGGCGTCTGGGCTCCAGGCAGCCACAGGGGCTCATAGCACTGTCTCTGCAGGTGCCATCTGCTTTGCCAACATGGGTGTGGCCATCCTGGAGCCCACATTGCCCATCTGGATGATGCAGACCATGTGCTCCTCTGAATGGCAGCTGGGTAAGTGACCTTGGTGCTCTGCTTAGGCCAGGGCAGGAAACAGGTACTGTGGGCCCTTTTTCTCTGGCCCAGGTCATCAGTGTCATTCAGGGATAATGTGCTTCCTTCTTAGAAGGACCTTCCATGTCCATGCCCATGAATCAAGCCTGAGTGGGTGTGCAGTCCTTCAGAGAAGCAGTCTGAGAAAAGGCAGGGTGGGAGAGGGTGAGCAAGCAATCAAGGGGTCATATTCCTAGCTGTGTAGTAGAATGATTAAAGATTGCCAGTCTGAAGACCTAGGTTTTTGTTTCACTGCATTGGTGGTCTATGTGGACTTCTGCAAATCACTTAGTTTTTATGAGTATCACTTTTCCCATCTCTAAAGTGAGCCTTTCATAATTCTATCTAGTTCAAAGGGAAATGGGAGGAATAAATGATATAAAATGTGGAAATCCTTTGTACCACGTGCAATATTAATATGTATCACCATTACCATCCACATTTTCCTCTCTTCAATTCTCTATCCCTACAGTGATATCTGCTATCTTTTCACCTCTGAAAAAGTGCTGGGTTCTGTATTCCAGCAGAAAGCTCTGGGCGCAGGAGAGAGAGCCTTAGGAACCTCTTCTCCATGTAGAAACTCAAAGAGGAGGCTCCAACCCTTCCCAGGAAGCCAGAGCAAAGGGGATAGAGAAGGCTACGTGCAAATTGCTTCATCACTGCAAGAGAAGAGAGGCTTATGGGGCCAGAGAGGAAGCTGATAAGAACCTGATATAGCTTAGAATGCAATAAAAAGCACTAAATCTAATTTTTAGCGGACAGTGATAAGCAAGGCTCCCAGCTGCACTCCTGGCCCCAAATTGAATTTTTTTCTGGGCTGCAACTGCCTCTGACCAAGACAATTAATTGAGTTAGTCAGTGTTCAGTGCAGATGACGCATCCCTGGCCCCAAGGCTCTGGCTGGTGAGCAGCTGAAGCACAATCCTACTATAGCATCCCAGTTACTAGCCTGAGTTAACAGTTACCACTTACTCAGTTACCAGCCACCTCTGTCATCCGCAGCTTTCCTCAATGCTATCTGGTTTGTAAAATCTGACATCAAAGGTTCTCAAATGATTATATCAGTATCACCTGGAGAGCTTGTTAAGGGCTAAATGAGGCCAGACAAAGTGGCTAGCTACCTGTAATCCTAGCACTCTGAGAAGCTGAGGTAGGAGAATCTCTTGAGCTTAGGAGTTTTAGATCAGCCTGAGCAAGAGTGAGAACCCATCTCTACAAAAAATAGAAAAATCATCCAGGCATAGTGGTCTGTGCCTGTAGTTCCAGCTACTTGGGAGGCTGAGGCAGGAGAATCACTTGAGCCCAGGAGTTTGAGGTTGCAGTCAGCTATGATGATGCTGTGGCACTCTAGCTGAGGTGACAGAGTAAGACCTTGTCTCAAAAAAAAAAAAAAAAAACCTAAATGAGCATCATAATGCTCTCTAGGTATTATGAGAGAAGAGAAATTGGAGAAACAAATGACATAAGAAGTGGAGTGACTTTGAGCAATTCAGTAAATTCATTCCCTTTAAATTTCCAGATGATGCCAATATAGTCAGTCACGACCACTCTTTCAAAACCACTGCTTTACATAAAGAACACCTCTCAAGGTTGTTGGGAGGTACAAAAGAGTCAAAGCCCTTGTGAATGATGTGTAGTGTGTGACTGAGTACTTGCTGGGTGGTCTATTGTCTGCAAGGTACTATCACCAAGGGGAGAAACAGCCAAGGCTTTGAAAACAGGTCCTCCTGAGTTTGAATCCTGACCTAGCCACTTACAAATTATGGCCTTGAATAAGTTCTTTAATATCTTTGAACTATGCTGTAGTAGGAACTCAAAATTTATGTGTTGGAAATTTAATCTCCAATGCAACAATATTGAGAGGTGGGACCTTTAAGGAATGATAAGGTCATGGAGGTGCTGCCTTCATGAAGGGATTAAGTCTGTTATCACAGGAGTGGTTTAGTTATGAAATCTGGTTGTTTGGTTCCCTTTCCCTCTCTCTCTATGTGATGCCCTTGTGCCATGTTATGCCCCAACAAGAAGGTCCTTGACAGATGGCCAAGGAGTTGCTGGTGCCATGCATTTGGACTTCCCAGCCTCCAGAATCATGAGTTGAATAAGTTTCTTTACTTTATGAATTACCCAGTATTGTGTTATAGCAGCAGAAACAGACTAAGACAGATTTTACTCTTTTTATTTGTGAAAACGAAGATATTTTTTAGGGTTGTTTTGATCTATGTATTCTAAAGATATGCTCAGTAAATTTTTAAGTTACTATTATTATTATTTGTATAATTATTTTTGTTTAAATAATTATGATAGTCACAAAATGTGTAACCCCTTACTCCTTGAAGATATATTGTGAAAAAATACATGTTTCTACAAACATACAGTTCAAAACACCTATTTTTGCACAAAATGCTGCTGAAATTTGTGCTATCACCAGGTGCTAAAAACAAGTTACAAGGATTGAGGAAAACCTCATTCAGAAAATTTCACACCATTTAAAATGATGTCAAGGAGATGTATCTAGGAGACTACAGGGCTTCCTACAGGGGCTTACTTCCATGTATTAGATAAACAGCTGAGTAGTTATAACCTCTAAATTGTTAAAATCAATGAAATGTAAACAAAGGAACACATCGTTGAATAGGTTGCCACCTGCACATATGGACACTAGACAAATATACTAAGGTGTGCTTTACTTCCAATCTATGAGAGAGAATATTAAAAGCAAACAAGTCGTCAGCCGGTAACTGGTGAACTGTTGACTTTTGGTATGACTGCAGTCGTCACAATGTTTTTTATTAGGACACATTGTTTCTTCTTGGCACAGAAAAGCATAAAAGGGCTGAGGAGACCCAAAGAAACTCACATTGCTAATTCCCAGCACTCCCTTCATCAGAGCCACCTGTGCTGCCACCCTGGGGGTGCGGAGTAGTGCAAACACCTGGATTTGGAGCGAGACACCCAGGTTTCAAGTCCTGGTCCTGTCCCTCACCAGCTATGATGATCATAATGAAGACCAGTGCTCCTAGGGCACTTACTTTGTACCAGGCACTGTGCAAAAAGTGTGACATGCACTATTTTATTTAAACATCACGACTAGCCTATCTGGTAGAAATTGTGATTATCCCCACATTTCAGAGATTTCTTAATCTAACCCAGTTTCCCAGGTTCTTTCAAATTCTGGGCCTTGTGGAACTCCCTGTCATTAGCAACTGATCCTGTGCTTTCATCCTCTTCTCTGAACACTTCATCATCTTCTTCTTCTTCTTCTTTTTTTTTTTTTGAGACAGAGCCTCAAGCTGTCCTCCTGGGTAGAGTGCCGTGGCACCACAGCTCACAGCAACCTCCAAGTTCTGGGCTCAAGCGAGTCTCCTGCCTCAGCTTCCCAAGTAGCTGGGACCCCAGGCACCCACCACAATGCCTGGCTATTTTTTGGTTGCAGCCGTCATTGTTGTTTGGCGGGCCCAGGCTGGATTCAAACCCGCCACCTTAGGTGTATGTGGCTGGCGGCTTAGCCACTTGAGCCACAGGCGCCGAGCCAACACTTCATCTTCTTGCTTTAATTAAGACCCAGATGTTTTCTGTGAACACTGTTTTCCTGAAGCCTCTTGGTAGAAGTCAATGCCCCTCCAGACTTTGCTATCCTTGGCTTCCTCTGAATCTTTTCTCCTCTTTTCTCCTTTGTAGATGACATGCATTTCACCACTCTTCATTGCAACCACTGGTAACCCCTTAGTTGCCCCTCCTCATTCATTAAAGCTGCCAACATCTGGCTCAGGTTTTTGTTTTGTTTTTTTTTTTAACCTCTACTATCACCATTTTGGGTGACTTCAGTGTCTAGGTGGATAACATCTTGGCCTCTTAGTTCCTTAATCTGTTCTCTTGCAGTGATCTTTTTCCCCTTTCCAGCTTACCAGTCAACCTTCTGTATGCCCCAGAAACAGTATTAATTATATCTTCTCTGAAATCTCAATTCCAAGCAGTGCAATTATAATCTTACATACTCCCTACTCAGATGTTCTAATATCTTCATATTTTTGGTCACCCTGAGATCACCAATCCATTGGCCTAAGTTCTTTTTCTGTTTCTATCTCTATTCATGCCCTCACTTCTTTCTTTACTCAGCTTGGATTCAATGGTCATTAGTATCATTTCACTGAAACTCCTTTCTCCCTCTCGGGTTGTCACCTGGCAAAGCCTAACTCTTGTTAAATCTATCAGTTGCCTACTCTTTCTCTGCACCTGTGCAATGATGTGAGACTGTAGAAAACCATACAGCCAGGCTGTTGGTCTCGCCTTAAATTTATGGCCATAAGTCTAAACTGGGTTTCATACTGCCCAGCAATCTTCATATAAGTCCCTAGTTGTGTTTTCCTTCCCACTTTCCAAAATTAATATGTAACTATTCTCCATTTAAGCCTCCTATAAACTCATTGAGGAAACAGAAGCAATGAGAAAGGAACTCACATGCCTTCATCACAAAATGTATTCACTTCTCTGCACCTGTACACATGTGCACTGCCTTCCCTCCAGTTATGGTTGAAGCTCTCAGCTCTGATCAAATGCCAGACTCCTCTTCTGGACTCCATCTCCTCTCACCTCCTCACTGGATGCTCCTCTTCACCTTTAACTATCTTCACCTCCTTTGCTAACCTTTAAAGGCAGGAGTCCCCAAGGCTCAGACCTTGGATCTCTGTTTTTCCGATTTGATCTTTCATAGATGATCCCATGCATTCTCATGGGGTTTAAGAATCATGTGTAAACCAACGGGTCTTAAATGTTTCTCTCCTTGGACTTGTAGACTTGTATGTCTAACTGCCAGACATCTCTGCACATCTCAGTTATTTCAAGCCTTTCTTCTTTCCCTCAAGCTATTCCTTTTCTACTAATCTTCCGATCTCCAGCCACCCAATTGATTAAAACAGAACCTAGGTTATCCTTGGCTTCTCCCTTCCCCTCCTTACTACCAAATTGTCTGCACTGAACCCAACAAAAAAATGCCACCAACTCTACCTCCAAAATCTCATACTTTATTTACTTCTCTCCAGCTTGCCTTCTAGGCTCAGTCCATCTCTTTTCTCATGGACTCTGAAAATAATCTGGTTTCCACTCTTGTCCCATGAACATAACCTTCTAAAGGACTTCAGAAAATATAAATTTGATTTATATTTTCCCTCCAAAGATTCTTAAGGCTCTAGAAAAGAAATTCTGAATTCCTTCCTAGAGCCTACATTTTCTCACTTTCTACTTGGTTTTTTATGCTTCAGCCTAGTGACTTCTTCTTTAAGGCCTTGTCATTTGCATATGGTGCTTTTTATTTTCCACTTGAAATGCTCTCTTTTGGCCATTGAGATCTCAGCTTAAGTCCACGTCCTCAGAGAAGCCTTCCCTGACCTGAAAACCCCAGGTGGCTCTTCTTCTTCTCCATCATTCTGCCATATCACCATATTCAGTTTCCTTCACAGAACTTACCATTCTTCAAAATCATCTTTTCACTTATTTGTTTACTTTTTTATTGTCTGTCTGCCTTCCCTGGGTACCCCAAGAGCTAGGATTTTATCTTCTTCACCACTCTGTCCTTTTCAATTAGCAATAATCTTGCCATGGATAAACCTCATTGGTTACGATACTGCCACTGCGCAAAGCTTACCACTCTGTCCTTAGCATAGAATATGTGGCACATGATAAAAGTTCCTTAAGATGAAATGAATGTATGAGATTCAGAGAAGGTAAGTAAATCACCCATGGTCACAGAGCTAGGAAGGAGCCAAGCTGTGATTTGAACCCAGAACTGTGTAGGAGGCACCAAAGCTCATATCTTGAGAACTCTTCACTCTACTGTCACAAAAACCATATGGCCAGGGCTTCAAGTTGTAAAACACTTTACATCATTATCTAATTTACTCCTCTCTATAACCTGGTATGATATAAATTGTAGCTTTGCTTTTTCCAGATGTGGAAACTAAGGCTCAGAAAGGCTTAGCAATTTATCCAAGGTCCCTATCAGAGCAATAGAAGGTCAGGTAAATAGGAAGACAGGCATATACTCCCATGCATCTTTCTCTAAAGCTCATGTTCTTATGCTGAGGATCAAGGGTGTTTTATGCATGAGAATGGCTCAATGGAGCCTGTGGAGAGTGAATTGGCAGGGCCCCCATAAGCCTAGGGGAACGTTCAGAGAATGACCCTCCACCTCTTGTCCTCCTTTCCCAAAACATTATTCCTTTTTCCATGTTCCCTCTTCTAGAAGTCACTTAACTCTTTTTTGTCTGGTTAATCTTTAGAAACTATGCAGAAATCCTTCTGATCTTTCCCTTTTTACCTTTTAACATATGTTAATGAAGTAGAAACCATTAACAGGATGATTTGTCTTTGATAAAGTTATTTTCATTTTCCACTCATATTGTAAGACCAAAAATGTGTCTTTTATCTATGCTACTTCCCTGTAAACAACCCTGCCAAGATACTATAAAATAAAGTTGATTTTGTGTTTTGCTGCTTGCTGTAGTCATCAACTACATCAGACCTCCCAACCCCATATTTCATCTCTTGGGTCTTCTCTTGTGTTTTATTTTCTCAGTCCTCACTGCTTCCACTTTGGTTCATTCCCCTTCTCCATGCAGGCTCGCAAAAGAGCCATTCATGAGGCAGTCCAGGAGAGGGAACTGGAAGCACTTTGGTGTTTTGAGGCTAAACAAAGCCTGACCCTGCAGCAAGCAGAGGAGTGTGACAAAGTGGTTTGGGGACCAAGTATACATGTGCTAAGGGGGTGTGTGTGTCTTTCTCCAGGTCTGGTTTTCCTGCCTGCCAGTGTGTCCTACCTTATCGGCACCAACCTCTTTGGGGTGTTGGCCAACAAGATGGGGAGGTATGTAGCCTGGGGATCTGGGAAGAATACTGGGAATATAAGATGGGAGAGTACTTTGAGGTTGTCCCTGCACTTGGGACAAGTAAATACTGACAAAATCTACCTACTGGGAGGATGGAGGAGGATGGGTGGGTGGACGGGTCAGTACAGACAAAGGGTAGTCCTGAGCTCGGAGTTGGTTGCTCTAAAAGAGGCAGTGGATACCTGAGGGGTAGCTGTCACTTTCCAGCTGTCTTCTATCCCTAGTTGAAGACATAAAATAACCCCAAAAGAGAACTGCTATGAAAAAAGTACTTTGGGAACAGTGGTTGTCAAACTGTGATTCTTGGAACTCCAGAGAGTTCCTCTGATGCCTCAGAGGCCACCCAGGAGAAAGAACTGGGGGCAAGTGGTATACCTCTAGATTCTGTTCCTGCACTATAATGAGAACAGTTTTAATTTTATGTTTGGAATTTAGCATAAAAATTTAAAAACTAAGTTTAAAAAGCACTTCCATGGGAAGTCAAAGAAGGAAAGAAGTTTGGTATTTTTTGTGATTTTCAAGATGGGCCTCAAAGATTAAATCAAATAAGGATAGTAGAAGGGAGTCTGGATGGAGAAAAGCCTGAGTTACACGTGGGGCTGCTCCCAAGGGTCAGCACCTTCTCGGTCAACTGATGACTCTTCAACGGGAAGGAAGAATATGTCCATCACACCTTCACTACATCTGCTATGGCAAGAGGTGTGGGGCCAGGGAGGAGGTGAGGGCTATAAGCAGATGGGAGATAGCTCCCCAGGGTGCAGATCCCTCATCTTCTCAGGTCCTAAGGCTGTTGGAATTGGGGCTGGCAGGACTGGACGGCTTGGTGGTGACAGGGTGGCTGGTGGAGGAAACTTTCCCCTTAACACAGCGTGATGGTGGCTCTTTTCTTCCAGGTGGCTGTGCTCCCTGGTTGGGATGCTGGTTGTAGGCACCAGCCTGCTCTGTGTAAGTATAATAAGACCTCGTCATGAGAGAAACTCGGACATTTGAAGACCACTCTCCTTTAAAATGGGTAAAGGATTGACTTAGCAAGGACAGTTAGGAGGACCATTTCTGACTAGGTAGGAACCAAGCAGCAGGGGAGATGCCTGGAATTAAAGAACATCCCCCTGAAGGTGGGGAAGGGGTGAGAGGGGCAGCTGTGGCCAGAGGTCCGAGGCTCTGTGTGCAGGCATATGAAATTAACACGTATTGGTCTATATTTCTGTGGCTGACAGAGTGGTGCATTTTATGACTTCATTTACTCATCCCACCCTGAAAGGCCCCCCAAGTCCCCAGGCAGCCATGAACCATGCCTCAGTCTCTGGCCCCAGAAAGTTAGATTGAGGAAAAAATAAAGATGGCTTTTTTATTTTCAAGAGCCCCCCTCCAAGTCCCGTAAGCCATCATTTTCCCCTCTCTGCAGTGGAGCTGAGCACACACAAGTGCCCCAGATTTGAGCGAGAGGGGAGGGGAGGAGGGAAGTAGGGCTCAGGGCCCTCCTCCTCTCCCCAGGACCAGGTAGAAGTCTGGAGTGGGAGCCCGAGCTCCAGGCTCCATACTGGCTTTGCCGCTTGCCATGTGTGTGACTTCAATCCAGTCACCTCACCTCTCTGCTCAGCATCCTCACCTGGGTAGAGAGAATTCTGCTGGTGACCCAGCTTGTCAAAATTATCCATATAAGCCATAGCCCAGCCTCTGGTATGGGGTGAACCCCCAGCGAATCTCAGCCAATATTATGGATGACATATAAACATTCATTAAGGCATCACCTCAGAATTGTTAACAGCGTGTTACACCTTTAAGGAGTGAAAATCCTGGGTAGCAGGTTTGGATGGCAGGTGTCCAGGGTCTTTTGCCCAGGAACCTACAAAAGAGGGAAGGAAAGATTTTCACTGCAAGGTTGGGAGGGCAGTGGGAATGGGCCTCTCGAGAGTGCTGATGTGTCACCCAAACCACCTGCCCCAGCTTGCTCATTTTGGGCAATCTTCTGTCTTCTTGCTCCCATGGCTACCAAATTAGGAGTTTAAATAAAACCTTTGAATGATGTCAGTCATGGGAAAGAGGCCACTCCATTGTGTGAAGACCAAGGACAGAAGCATGTGTTTGGGTGGAGAGGGAAAGAGGGAGGGAGGAAGAATCCCAACAGAATGGACCCTTGTTATGAGGCAATGGAGTTGAGTCTGAGGTCCAAACTTGGACTTGCCACTTCTCAGCTCTATAGCTTTGGATAGGGCCTTTAACCCACATGGCACCCGTATAGTTCTCAAATCTCTAAAATGGGGGAAGGATTCTTCTTTGGAAGATGGGGTGACCATGCACAGCCATCACCCAGGCATGAGCCAGGTGACTGCATTCAGGGGAAAACCCTTTGAGCTCTGCCCCCACCTCACCCAGCTGAAGTCCCAACAAACTCTCCCTCTTTCCGCTTGCAGGTTCCGCTGGCTCACAATATTTTCGGTCTCATTGGCCCCAATGCAGGGCTCGGCTTTGCCATAGGTAAGCAGTGTCCCCCAAAAGGAAACAAGAATCCCTCTGAACGTTGGCTTTGCATCCAAAGCCTTCCCTTCCCTTTTTCTTGTCAGAGGAGGTGGGTAGAAAGGCGGAAGGGGCAGGAGGGCTGCTGGCAGGAAGTGGAGAGATAGACTCATAATCTCCACCTGTAATAGGTATTGGCACCAAGGGGAGGACAGGGCAAAGTGAAGGGCCCAGCGGGGAGGGGCATGCTGCCAACTGGGGGCGGGGCTGACAGTGCCCTGTCTGCTCTCAGGCATGGTGGATTCCTCTATGATGCCCACCATGGGGCACCTGGTGGACCTGCGCCACGCCTCTGTGTATGGGAGCATCTACGCCATTGCCGACGTGGCACTTTGCATGGGCTTCGCTGTGGGTACGTTGGTGTCTGTTCCCCTGTCTGTTCACCAGCTGGAAGTGGAGCGGGATCATCTTAAGGTTCTTAAGCGGCATCCTCCGGGTCTCCCACTGCCCCAGGATAGTGTCTTATGTGCCATCCAGTCTTTGTAAATACATGTGACCTTGATGTGTTCCTCACAGGCCCGACCACCGGGGGTGCCATCGTGCAGGCCATCGGTTTCCCCTGGCTCATGGTCATCAGTGGGGTCATCAACATCACCTATGCTCCTCTCTGCTACTGCCTGCGGAGCCCCCCGGCCAAGGAGGAGAAGCTTGTAAGGAGCTCTGCCTGCTAAAAACAAAACTCCACTTCTGTGTCTTCCTGTTCTCCCTCTCATCCTTTACCTCTACCAGTAGTCTCTCTACTTTGCCACTTTTTCTGATCCCCTTTTCATCTTTTTTTAAAATTAATTTTTCTTACTTATACATGTGTATATTAGGTGTCCACTTTTGCCTTTACAGAATTAAAAAAGCTAAATTTAATGACAATAACAATATTTAACATAAGGACTGAGAACAAAAACATCATAAAGAACGAATGAAGATAAATACATTCAGAAAGAAATCAGACGATTGCTGCAACAAAATATTAAGCAATAATAATAGTAATAATCCAAAGAAAGCAACATTCACATTGTCAGATAGAAGTATGTCTATTATAGAATACTTTGACCAGTTAACTTCTTATTTTGTTTTTCATCTTTATCTTTCCTTGGTGCCCATCCTTAATTTCTTTTCTTTAAATAACTGCTGCTTCTCTTACTGGGGCTGTTAGGAAGACTCTTAGGTAGAGGAGGAAAATGGCAACTTCACAAAGATGGGGGGGGCATCCTGCAGCTCCTGTGGTCACTGGTGAGGTGTGAATTGTTGAGTTATCTCCCCCCTAAAATGGGCAGGATTCCATTGTGCATGCTCATCTGTTCACTCCCTCATTCATTCAATCGAACCGTTCTCCTTACAAGGGGGTCTCTTCTAAAGCACAGAAACATCAGGGAAGAGACTATAACATATGATTTTCTTGAAAAAGATACTTTCCTGGTATTGCAGCCTGAGGCACCCTGGAGGGCTGGGTGTAGAGCCTGCTGGAAGGAACAAAAGAAGATGGGGAGGACTCATGGGGAGCAGTGCCAGTGGCCTCTGGCCACCTGTCTGCTGGCGCTGGCACTACCACTGTTAGGACAAGATTAAAATTATATTGGGTGTTTGTCCTGCGAGGGTTGATGCCCCTAGGTGCCTTGGGAGATTATGCAGATACATGAAGCAGAAAGGGGCCCTGTGCTTATTTATTGCATCTTTCCTCAACCATGCCAGACTTGGATGAGCTGAGGCGGGACAGGATGGGAGCCTGGTAGGAGATGTGCGGTGAGTCTTCGCTTGTCTCTCTCCACTGCAGGCGATTCTGAGCCAGGAATGCCCCATGGAGACCCAGATGTATGTAACCCAGAAGCCCACGAAGGAGTTTCCCTTGGGTGAGGACAGCGATGAGGAGCCTGACAATGAGTAGCCATGGCAGAAATGTTCCCTGAACCCTGTCGCATGTGAGCGCATGAGGCTCAGACTCCAGCTGCTGTCCTGGAACCAGATTACCGCGGGCTCCTCGGTGGCTGTCCTCCCTTCCCTCCCCGCTGTGTATCTCCTTTCCTCCCCTCTTCTCACCTGTGGAACCCGTATCTCTCCCTATGCCTTGAGGCCTCAGGCGTGGGAGGACAGAGTGATGCTTCCTCCCAGGCTGCTGTGAGCTTTATTAAACTTGAACTGTGACAAGTTCTGCAAGGGGTGACTCATTCCATGGAGGCGGTGGTGAGCAGGGTGGCCCCTGAAACCAGTGGGGTAACTGACAAGTCTTGTTTTATCTGCTGTCTGATTTGTTTGGCAGATTCCCAGCAGATTATACAAATTTCATCCTGTGTTCCTCATGTGATCCTTGCTGGGTTTTCCCAGCTGAACTGAGAAAGTGCATTCCACTTTGCTGCCAAATGCCAACCAGGGGAAAGTGTTGTTTGTTTTTTCCTAAGCTGAGTGGTTTTCCTATGGCAAACACAACATCTGCTAATGTGACTTGATCTGCAGGGAACAGGGTCTTCTATTTTCTTCATTATCAAATGGGGAAGGGAAAGAGCCTTTTTCTCTTACGCTGGAGTTACTGACATTCTCATCATCTCCTCTGTGTGTTTCTACTTGTCCTGAACCTCTTAGATTCTTAGAAATAAAAGTAGAAGGACAGAAGAAACAATCTATGAGGCCCAAGATTTCATGGGAAGACGCACAAAGAAACTGCTTGAAATCCTCCTTGACTGGGGATTTCCCAGTAGGAGCTGTATAACGAGGCATTGTCTCACCTACGAATGGATAAATTATTGCCCAATTCAAGCACAGTAAACTAGATGTCATTTTATAGCAAAACAGAGTATATGGGTAAATATATTAATAGTAGGTGCTATAAATATGATATTTTGCTACCTTTTTGAAACAGTGATGGGGTTTCAAAGAGGTGGGAGGCATAGTAGCCACCCTAAGTAGGGCAAACAGGATATCCCCAGTATAAAAATGGTCAGTACTGCAAGTTAGTACAGAGTCTGTTCAGGTACAAGGAGGCAGGGTGCTCATGGTCTAGGTGGGAAATAATGGCTGAGGTGGAGGGGGAGGCAGAGTGGAGAGGCCCACAGAAAAACCCTGATATCTAGGGTACCTGACTGGGGTGTTTGGGCTTTGTCTGGAATGATACCTGACTCTGATTACACATGCCTCTGTAGGGATTTAGTGGTTACTGGCCCACACCCTTAGCACAGCACATTCAAGCTGGCCCTTTCAATGCATCTCTAACACTCAGACAACAGATGCCTGACTTACGGCTGTGTGTGTAGGGACTTGGCATTAAGTTGATTGACCTGACTTGCAAAACCAGATGTACTTATATCACTTAGTCAGGATAATGTTTGTCTCAGATTTCAAAGAAGCTCAAAGGTGAAATTAAAAATTACTGGTCATAATATATAAGCTATAACTACAAATGCAGATGGAGTGAATGGTTACTGGAGTTCCTTGCAAAGGTGGGGTGGGGCAGGTGAGGCGCCCTGGCCATGACAGGCTGTTGAATCTCATGTGCTCCTGGGACAAGATTTATAAAAAGGCTGAGCTTTTTATGTAGATTAACACAGTAAAAAATAAGAATGACCAGGCAGGCATGGTGTTTCACACCTGTAATCCTGGGATGCTGGAGGCTGAGGTGTGTGGATTGCTTGAGCTCAAGGAGTTCAAGACCAGCCTGAGCAAGAGTGAGACCCTGTTTCTACTAAAAACAGAAAACATAGCCAGCCATGATGGCAGGTAACTGTAGTCCCAGCTAGGAAGGAGGTTGAGGCATGAGGATCACTTGAGCCCAAGAGTCTGAAATTGAGTGAGCTATGACACCACGGCACTTTACTTAGGGCAACAGAATGAGACTCTGTCTCAAAAAATAATTTAAAAATTCTTCCAATTTTTTTTAAGAGAAATTCATCCCTGATTGCCATTTAACACTGTTTGAACAGTGTGCAAAGACACAAATAAGGGGAAATAAAGGGATATAATTTATTAAGACTTTGAAAATACTCTTGGTAAGTGTTGTATAATTTTCTCCAAATACATTTCTTTCTTTTTTTTCTTTCTTTTTTTTTTTTCAGTTTTTGGCCAGGGCTGGGTTTGAACCCGCCACCTCTGGCATACGGGGCGGCCCCCTACTCCTTTGAGCCATAGGCACCGCCCCAAATACATTTCTTAAAGGGAAGTATGTGACTTGGTGCTTCTCTGAAACAAGTCCTCTCACTTCATTCCCCTGGATTAGGCACTTTGGTGTCCATTTCACAGATGAGATAACTGAGCCTGACAGGTTAAATAAGCAGCCTGAACACACATAGTCATCTACTCACATAACAAACAGGACAGTCCAGATTTGAACTCAGGTTGGTCTCACTCTAAAACCTGAGGTCTTAAACTATATAGGGCTCTTTCCCAAAGCAGTGAATTATTACTGGTTTAAATGGACTGCAGAAACCTTTATTTTATTTTTTTTAAGAAACATGCTATCTTATCTTTATCTCCTACCCAGCTTGTCCTTCCTCCTGATCCACCTACCGAATTCTGACTCAGCTCTCAGGCTGAAACTGGCCTCAGATTTCTAGTATTTGTGACTGATTTGCACGCCCACAAGTGAAAGTCAATTCCCCTTATTTCCAGAAGAGGGCAGCAGAGCCCACACTAAATTGCTTAGACGCTGCACCGTGAGCTGAATCTGACCAAACGCTGAGACTTGAGACTTGATGAGGTTGATTGAGCATTTCCTGTCTATCATTCTGGGGCTTAACCAGACTTACAAAGTCATTTATTTTCTGCATTTTTCCCTCCCTTTTCCCCTTTCCCCTCCATCCTTATCTTCCCTTGCAATTTCTGCCTACCTGAGTCAAGGGCAGTAGCCTCTCACTCCACCTTGCTTCTTAGCATCTTCTGGCTAAGGAAGTGGGTGAGGACTCTGTTTTCTCTGGACTGTGTTTTGTTCCTGCAAACTAGTATAGTGGATGTGTTAATGACTCCAAGGGACAATGGCTGACTTCAGCACAACAAGAACTGCCTACCACCTGGCTTGTACTAGGCAACTCTGTAAGAGAATTTTTAAAGAAAAAATTAAAAACTAAAAATACCAATATAAACATTTACCTTGCTAGGCACTTTCAAACGCAGGAGTGCACAGAGGTGGTTATGGTTTATATACACATGTTCAGGTGACCTCTGGATTCATGACCCAGACAGTTCTGGTGAGGTAAAGAGCTCCCTTGGGTGCTGAAGTTGCCTTTTATCTAAGGTCAGTGGGGGAGAGCCTTCCCCTGCCCCACTCAAACCTCTATAAGGACCCTCCTGCGTCTCTGAAATCTTGTGGCCTTCATGGCTGTGTCACTGTGGTAGCATAGAAAGATATTTGTTCATCCCCGTCTTCTGGCACAGAGCTCCAAATCTTTGGAACTTTAAGTGATAAGAGTGATAACAGCATCTTTCATCCTAACCAGGTGAGTTTCGTCAGGGCTCTAGATAGCTTTAGGATGGGGCTGGTTGTCTGAAAGGCCATGTTCTGATAAGCTTGAAACTTTCAGCTCCTGGGATGGGAGAAGAGCTGGAGATTGAATCCAATCAACAATGGCCAATGATTAATCAATTATGGCTTCCCAATGAAACCTCCATGAAAGCCCCTCCACAATGAGAGAGCTTCTAGGCTGGTGAGCACTTCAAGGTTCTGTGAACATGCCAAGGGTGGTGCACCCAGAGAGGACATGGACATCCCCACCCCCACCTATCCCACACCATGCCCTGTGCATTCCCTCCATTGGGCCATTTCTGAGTTATATCCTTTATAACCAAACCTGTGAAAGTAAGTAAAGCATTTACCTGAGTTCTGTTAGCTATTCTAGCAAATGATCAAACTTATGAAGGGGCTGTGGGAACCCCTACTTTATGGTCAGTCAGAAGTGTGGGTGGCTCAGGACTTGTGACTGGTGTGTAAGGCAGGGACAGTCTTATATGCCAGAGCTCTTAACTTGTGGGGTCTGGGTGATTAGTGTCAGAAAGAAATTGAATTGCTGGACACCCAAATGTGTTGGAAAGTTAGAGAATTGGCTGGTAGGGTCAAGAAAGCACCCCAGAGTCACTGACATGGGTAGTCACATATGCAACCTTCACTCATTCTTACAATTTAGCATATGAACAGTGTCCCCCCAACCCAGACCATGTGTTTCTCTGGGGTACTTCTGTGTTACATACTTCTCTTGTCCTCTTCAGAAATTTCTGTGACACTTGACCTTGGGAGATCTTGATTGATGGAACTTGGAGAAGGATTTCACTGCTCATGGTTCCTCACTGCCGTTTCACTAATCTGGGTTTGGGTGTTTTGTCTATGAAACAAAGAGGTTGGTCCTCCCCAGTCCTGCCACTCTAGGATTCCATGTGTCTGCTGTCCTCTTTTATTAGGGTCTGTGCAGAGAAGCTCTGAGCAACTGGATTAGCCAGAGTTCCTCAGATGGGCCCGTGGAATATTTTACTGACCTGCAAATCTGTCTACTTTGGGTTATCTTTTGACATTATTCATGCACCTCCCAAATCAGTTTTCAGCAGTCAAAGGGAGACGCAGAGCTTTGGCTGGGAAATCTCTAGGAAGTTTCTACCACATCAGATGAAAGATCAAGTTCATGATGGCACCATGCCTTGGTCTTAGCCTCCCTCTCCAGAAACAAAAGAGGCATTGCAAATAGCATCACTAAGAGGCTATTTGGAGATAGCCTCTTCATTTCTTCTCCTATGTGGAGAAATAGAGAACATGCCACCTGTGCTCCATGACAGCCAGGTGCCAGAAGAGCCCACTGTAGTGTAGGACTGAATTAAAGAAAAATCTACATTTAAATAAATGCCTCACTGAGTAGCTCTGTTTATGAGATAGTTATCCTGTAAATGTGATATGGAATGTTATCTTACACTCGATTT